CCGGGGCGTGTCGGGGGCAGCCAATGGGGCGCGGGGCGGGGCCGTACCCGAGTGCAGCCCGATCCGGATGCGCACGGGCACCTCGGGCATGTGGCGCATCTTGAAGGTGCCGACGGAGCTGAGGATGTCCAGGGACATGTTGGCGATCTCGCCGGCGTGCCGGTTGCCGTTGCGCTTGGGCAGCCCCGAGGCCACCATGTAGGCGTCGCCGATGGTCTCCACCTGGCCGGGATGGCATCGGGGAGGGGCGGGTCAGGGGGTGGACACGCCCACCGGGACACGCCCGTGTGCCGCCGGTGGTCTCCGTGTGGTGGCCACGTCCCTGCTCGGTGGCCAAAGCCGGGAGGGTGGCTCGGAGCAGCGTGAGGTCGCGTTGACCGTCACGTTGTGCCGCCAAAGACCGTGGGGACCACCGGGAATCGTCGTGTGGTGGCCACAGCTGCTCTTGGTGGCCAAAGTCCAGGTGGATCCATGGATTGGACCATCACGGGGCCACCTCGACCGTGGCCATGGGGTCACCTCGTCCATCACCTCGTAGGTGCCACCAAGGACCGTGGGGACCACAAAGCGTCTTTGTTTGGTGGCCATGTCCAGCAGCGGTGGCCAAAGCCCAGGTGGGACCATGGCTTGGGCCACCGTGGGGTCACCTTGAGTATGGCCACCACATTGTAGATGGCCACCAAGAGCCACAGGGATCCCCCAGAACCTCCCTTTGGTGGCCACAGCTTCTCTTGGTGGCCAAAGCCCAGGTGGGACCATGGCTTGGGCCACCGTGACCTTGACCTTTGTCATGGAACCACCTTGAGCAGCTCCGGGGAGTCACCTTGACCACGCCCATGAGGTCACCTTGACCACGGCCACCACCGCTGACCCCAGCCCCCATCCTGAGGTGACCACCCCACACCCATGGCCACATGACCAGGCTGACCACGGCCATGGTGACCTTGTAGCCACCACCGCTGACCCCAGCCCCCATCCTGAGGTGACCACCCCACAGCCGTGACCCCAGGAGCGAGTGGCCACCCCGCGGTCACCTTGTAGACGTCGTGGGAGCCGATGATGGCGTCGAAGAGGGTGTAGAGGTCGTTGAGGAGATCGACCACCTCGATGGGCTCGCTCATGGCCGAGATGGTGGTGAAGCCCACGATGTCGCTGAAGTACAGCGTCACCTCCTCAAAGTACTCGGGCTCCACCGGCGTCCCCATCTTCAGCGCCTCGGCCACCGACCTGCCCGGGGGGCAGCCAGGGGTCACCCGGGGGGCAGCC